GGGGGGCGGGCGGGGGGAGATACAAACCCAAACCACGCTTAAAATACGCGGTCGAGGTGAGGGGCTTCGGGACAACCTGTTTCCAAACACGACGTGACACACGCAAAATGTCTGGAGGATGGCATTTTGGTCCAGCTTTTTTCTCCGCTCGCCTCGGGAGCGGAGACCGCCCGCTTCTTGCCGCGGGCTGCTCCGCACCCGCGCAGCCTCCGCGCTGCCGCCGCCGCCGCCCGCGGAGAGACAGAGAGGGGAGCAGGGGAGCGCCGGGGCTCTTCGCGGAGTTTTCTCGCCGATGATGTAATTTTCACTTCGTTAGTCGTATTTCATTAAATCTCTCCTCTCGGTGGGCAGCGCAGGAAACGCTGAGCGGAATCTCGCTGTTGTATAAACAAACAGCGGATATTTTATATGATTTAAATGTGTAGATAATTAGTTTTATTACATTCATTACCCCCTTTATGTGCTCCGTAACAAGTCGGCAATTAAAGTAACAAACTCATAAAGTCTTTATAGGGGCTAAATTTAAGCTCGCACGGTATTTGCCAAGCTAAGTAGTTTAATTCAAAGCCAGTGCTTGAGTGCGGGGAATCTACAGAGCCCCGTGCTTCGCCCTTGGTTTATTAGAGATTAAAAATTCTCCGAAGTGGGACTTAATTAGACCGATGACCGGGGTTTGATTTTGGGGGGCACGTCACTGGGAGTCACCGGTGGGTAAGAAAACAAAGCGGCAGATTCTCGACCCGCTGAGGATCCGGGTGATAGTTTTATGGCGAGGGCTGATAGTTTTATTGCGGTTGCATGTTGTACAATGTGTATTTGATAAAGAACGGCCTTTGGTGGCCCGTGGACACTTTTTGTGCACCGGCGAAATGAAAATAAATGTGAACACGGTTTTTAGTGCGAGGGTGGAAACAAATTGCGAGCTCTAAATGGTTCTCCCTTTATGGTCACCAGACAAGAGGAGAAAAGCGCTGCAAACATCTGTCTTCCGTCCCCCAAATCTAAAGGGCACTAAAGAATGATGTGAATCTAAGTGTTACTACAGCGGGGATTTGTCTTTATTTACCCGCGCTCTCATGAATATGAATACGCGTTTGGGGCAGGGAGGTGCCTCGCCTCCTCTCAAACAACACGGGGCATTTAAAAAAACCCACAATAATAAAATAAATTTCCGAGTGCGTTTCCTCCAGGGAGAAGGCGGGGGGGGGAAACATTT